CAAAACTAGCATGAGTTAAATACGACTCACATGGCAGTTAATATGTTAAGCAAGATAACGTTCATCAAAGTGATTAGTACTTGCCTGACACAAAATGAAGGAGCCATTCGTGGAAATAATTGTCTTTTTTTTCCCCTTTGGACACCTGAGTGGCTGACGCGGTCTCTAACGCAATCTTCCATGGTTTGTTTCTGTTTCTGTTGAGCTCGAATCACACGAAGTTTCAGGAGAGAATGGCATCCTTCAACTCAGTGAGCCCTACAACAAATAGCTCTCTTTAGCTGGGTGGCATGCAGTTGGTCAGAATGTTCATCAATGCCTTCAGACCTATGCCATCCTGTATGGGGGGATGATTAGATTGCCTTGTTTCCAGAGTCTATATCTCTTAATACAAGGCCAGATCTTGTAGGAACTATTTTGTCCTTTCCCTTCAAGAATCCTTCCCATCACTTTACCTCCAAACATGAGTTCCCAGCATGCCTTTTTTCATCCTTTCACCTATCTATGCATTATTTGTTTTAAAATAATTATTGAGCCCCGACCTTGTTCCAGGTAGACTTCCCTGATTATATCTATCTGACTGCCTGAAACTCTGCCTGGGGCTCAAAGCAAACACTCCCAACACTATATTCTATTTCCTCCCATTCAGCGGCTTCTAGCTTACTGCTTGTTGTTCATCTCCCTCCCTGCTCTTCCTTCCATGTCTCTCTGTCTGTCTTGTCTCTGTGTTCTAACCTCCCTCACCTTCAATGACCTGGTTTCTCCTGCTGCTAAATGAACACCACTTATAATTATTACCAATTAAAATGGTCAGGAAAATTGGTGAATGCAACGTTCATAAATTATGGCTTCCAGGAGTTGTCACAGCCATGTTGTTAGACTAAGTTGAGTGTAGTGTTGCCTTGGTGACAGTCATCGATGTAGATTAAGAATGTTAGTTGTAAATACCAATTGCAAGGAGATTCTGGAGATAGCAGAAGCCCTGTGCCATCTTTAACTGTCCCAGTGATCCTTGTGGTAGGGGACAATGGTAGAATACTTTATATTTTACAATTTACAAAACACCTTAACTTTCATTATCTCACTTGTATCCTCAAAACACCTTTATGATCCAATTTTTGTTATCTTTGTTTAAAGGAAACTGCGTTTAGAAAAGTCAGTTAGCTTCCCCAAATTTAAATGTCTATAAAAGGCAGATCTGGGAATTGAACACAGGCACGGCTCAAAGTATAATGCTCTTTCTACAACATTATACTGTTTCTAAGCTGAAAGCAAACGCATAAACAAACGACAGCAAATTGTGAGGTTCACATTAAAAGTATATCTATATAAGCAAAGATTAAATGTTTTTAAACAAATAAAAGATAATATATTCATTGAGTGAGTACTAGCCTCTTCAAAGCTGTCACCTTGAAAGACTATCACTTCATTGTAGTAATGCTGTTATTGTTTAAATCATTCTAAAACTCCTCTTTTGAAATTACTTTCCATGTTTCTTAGGATATCCTTAGTAATGACAAAAACTTAGCCTTTAAGAATAGCTTTACCATTGGTAGCAGCCAATAGAAATGGTAATATTACTGGGAAAATCTCTCATCTCTCAGCCTAACTATTTTGAAAGAAAATCTCATTTGGGTATCAACATTCTGGCATATTTGTTGAAAGTCTTATTATAATTAAAACTTAAAATCACAACTCTGCTGTCAACAAATCCTTCAGAAAATATGTATGCAATTAATTTTGCCCTAGAAGATAAATTAAGCTTCCTTTCAGTAATATAAAATAATTGGCTTTATGAAATATAAAATGTTCATCATGGATTATCCCATGTTGCTTTGTTCCAAAAGGCTGCTTTGTATCTGGACATTCAACAGGTACACTGTAGACAAGCTTTAGATATGGTAATGGAAGAAATCTTTCTTCCGTGATGATAACTGTTGTGAGATAAGAATTTAGAAACAAGAGGCCTGGAAGGTTTCTACTTCCAGGTTTGTTGCTAACACACAGTGTGAATTTGAGGAATTTATCTGCCCACTTTGGACCTGAGTTTCCTGGTCTGCCAAAAGCCTAGATCATGCTAAGGTTCCTTCCAGCTCCAACCTTCTATGATCTCAGCCTTACCGTATCCTCAGTGGCCCGATTGTAGACTATCAGAGGCACATTTTTATACTTTTAGATACTACCAAACAATCTCAATTAGCAATTAGTATTTTATGGAAGAGAATAGGATAAAACATTCCTGTAGGACTTCTCAGCAGGCCTAGTTAAATACCCTTTCACACTGTTTGGAGACATCTCAGAGGTCTTCTGTTTTTACTTTCAAAGTGACCAAACCTGTAAATAGCAGTTCTACTAGACGGAATACTGCATCGATTGAGAAATTATGGTTGCAATCATAGGAAATGCTTTTCAGAGGCAGGGGCCAAAATGACTGATTTCTTTCTCCAAAAAAAAATACTATTTTTCTTTGATTGACTTACCAGAAATATTGTTTCTTAGCCTATTATGTGCCAGGAATTGTTCTTGGTGCTGGAGATATGGAAGTGAATAAAACAAATAGTTTCTGCCCTCACTGAGTGTATATTCCAGTGTACTTTTTGTTTGTTTAAGTTCCTCAAATATCTTTGTAAAAATAAATGGGGGAAGAGAGTGATAGGAACAAGCAAATAAATAAATAAATTCAAAATGGGAGTAGAAAAATGGATTACAAAGGGCTAATACGTAGCATATATGGTGCAGATAGAAACAACATACCATTGTGTAAGTTCCTTTTGAGAGGAGTAGAGAGATATGCATAGTGTAAAAGGACAAGAGCAGAAGGATTAGGCAATCCAAGTGAGAGAAGAAAGTGAGGGAGAATAAATTCAGGGAGAGATGAAGGGAGAATGTAAAAGAGAATGGCAGAGAACAAAAAAAAGGGAGAGAAAAGACAGAAAACAACCAAAATTATGTAAAATAACTAACAAAAAAAGCCAACGCCTGAGGGCAAATATTGTCTCATTCATGTTTGTAACTATCTCCTATCTTCCAAAATCTAGCACTTAGTAGGTTTCCAGTAAAATTTTGTGAATAAATGAATGGGTAAGTCATTGAAATAGCGTGTAAAATTAAGTAAGAAAGGATGACATAAGATATGGAAGAGCACCATACAGTGGGGGGATAAACGGGAGAAAGGTTAGTTGAACTGGGAATGCACTTATTGATCAGATATACACGAGAAGGGTATGTAGCTCCTCCACACATTGAATATGTATTAAATGTTAACTGCTTGGCTATTTTTTCTTTCACCAGACCATTAGCAATGTCCATTCTACTGATGCTCAGACAATTCTGAAAGAAATTCACACACATGCACATACATACAAACACCCCACCTGTGATGCATTCAAATAATGTCATAAATTGTTCTAAAAGTTTACTTTTCTACCTTGTTAACCATTTTTATACACCTTTGCATAGAAATATATTAGATCCTAGAGGCAGTAGATTTTAGCAAAAAGCCATGAGCTAAGAATTGGACATTGTGTGAATTTTTAAACCTCTAAAGATAACTTTCAAGAGAAAGCTGTTTAACAGTGGACTCACATTTTATGATCACAAGCTGACATTTCTGATGACAATTGTATTTCCAAAAGGCAAATTTTGTCAGCAGTATCATTTGTATCACTCAAGAACATTGATTTTTGAAGATATTAGGTTGCTACCTGCTAAGAGGTAATATTTTATACTATTGTATTTCTTTTCAGAACCAAACCTGTCTCTTATCATGAACGAGCTCTCTTTTCAGATTGCAACTCAAGATGCAAATGTTCAGAGACAAAATGGGAACCCATGTGCGGTGAAAATGGAATCACATATGCATCAGCTTGTCTTGCTGGTTGTCAAACCTCCAACAGAAGTGGAAAGAATATTGTAAGAAATCTCATCCTCTAAAGTATATGCCCATGGGTCTGTTACAATATAGGACAGCACAGCACTGTGGGGGCTTAGCAGCAGACCACCACTGGTAGGAGCCCTGGCTCTTACCTTTGCCTTGTCCTTTCATGTGGACACAGGAAATAACCATTCCTGGTGGAACTAGAACTGTTGAAAGAATTAGGGTAAGACTTAAAGCCATGAAACAGGGTGGAGGAGCTTTTGTAATTATGTAGCTTATTTCTCTAGTTTTGCTTATAAAGAGTAATTAGCCCTGAATGAGAAAGTCCCAGACATAAGATCATATAATAAGATCTGCTTTGAGATCCATGTCTCCTGACCTCAAGACCAGTAGCCCTTGGAGGTTTTAGGGGCAGGACAAATGGAGGCTCATATTAGGAGGTCTAGCTCCAGAGGTCTAGATCCAGGGATCAGGGATCTAATTATGAGGATGTCCCAGAACTATAATGGTTCTGGGATTACTCTGCTTGGGAAATCAAGCCAATTTGTGTGATAATGAAAAAAACAGGTGAGCAGGAATGGAGGGTTTCTGTAGGGTAGAAGAGGGAGATGAGGTTGGAAATTTAAGTAGAAAGCTGTCTTAGTCAGTCCAGGCTGCTATAACAAATATACCATAGACTGGGTAGCTTAAACATTTATTTCACACAGTTCTGGAGGCTGGTAAGTCTAACACCAGGTGCCAGCAGATCTGGTGCCTGGTGAGGGCCATCTTCTTGGTTTGCAGATGGCCATCTTCTCCTATCCTCCCATGGCAGGAGGCCAAGAGGAAGGGCAAGTTCTCTGGTCTCTTCTTATAAGGGCACTAATCCCATTGATAAGGGCTACACCCTCATAACCTCATTACCTCCCAAATGCTCTACCCCCAAATACCATCCATTAGGGATTAGTATTTCAACATACGAATTTGGGACAAACATTCAGTCCATAACAGAAACAAATTGTGATGATATGATGTACTTTAATCATTAATAGACTCACTCTTCCAAGCATGCATTTACATTCCTGCCCTAAACATAGGCTTTTCCTTACACTTGCCCTGTCAGACTGCTTTCTGTTTGATAAAATCTGCCTTTATTTGACAGTCTTAGAGGGCTGAAAATTAGACCACACATATTTACATATACATATCAACTAGATATGAATGCTTAGGCAAACACGTCTGCAGATATACAGTAATGTTTGTTGATTTTCTGTTTATTAGGCTAATATTTTGACATTTTATTCAGAGCAGAAAGGATGGATCTCTAGCAACAGCAAATAAGACTACTGACCATCTGAAATCTGAGCTTCACCATCCTTCTTTTTTCTTCCTTTCTTTCCTTTCCTTTCAACTCTTTCTTTCCTTTTTTTTTTCTTTTCTTTTCACCCACAACTGCATGAACATTTTTCTTAACTAGAACTACCATTTTTGAAGACATTATATGCCAGGGGCTAAAGATACGTGCTCTGAAAACAAAATTACATTTAAATCTCATGGTCCTCAAATAATTATGTAGTATTTTATTTATTTTCCTCATATGAGAACTGAGGCACTGAAATATAAGACTTGCCTAACTTGTATATCTAGGAATTGTCAAAAGTCAAGACTCAATAGCTTTCAACCTGACATTTTAAAAAACCTACATTGCTACTTTTCTAGAAGAGGAAATGCCAGCCTACTTTTGTTCTTTATCTAAAAATTCACAAACTCTTCTGTGATGAAAATGACAACTCATTTTATATACACATTCATAAATGAACTTTACAGAAATAAACTATTGAGGGGTTATAAAAGTTGCCTCTCTTTAGCAAAATTTAGTTGATTTCTATGTGTCAGGATTATTTTTACCTAGTAGCCTCTATAAAATGTTGTCAAATATGCCCATTTATTTAATAAAATTTTATTGAATGCTTAAAATGATGACAAAGCATATAGTTTCTACCTTCACGGAGGTTCACTCTACTAGGGAAATATATTTTAAATATAAATACGTATATGATATCTTGATAAGTTGTAATGAACACTGTGAAAAAAATAATAAGTTAGGATAAGAGGATGGAGAGATGGGGGCATTTTTTTGAATGGGTAGTCATCAAAGTTCTTTCAATGAAATCTCTGAACAGAGACCTGAAATGAGGACGCCAGTCATGTAGTTATTTAGGAGAAGAGCTGCCAAGCAGAGAAAACATCAGGGCCATGAGGCATGGGTAAACTTGCCAGGTTTGAGAGGAAGTTTGGCAAGGGCAAAATGGAAAAGCAAATTTGCAAGGGCCGTGTTTGTGGCTGATGCAGAGGGAGAGAGGGAAGACCATTGAGCAGTAGATCAGAGTGGGATCCAGGAGCTACATGATGGAGAATGTGTAACCCACTATAAGGATTTGGGATTTCATACAAGTATAATGAGAAGCCATTGGAAGGTTGAGGGTAGTGATGCAATCTGACAGCCATTTTTAAGGGTTCATATTGGTTACTTTGGGGAAAATAGACAATAGCTGGATAAGAGTGGAAACAAATTGAGCATGAAGAGACCATTGTAATAATCAAGGCAGGAAATAATGGTGACTTAGACTTGGAAGTGGTATTGAAGGAGGAAAAGTATGGTTGGATTTGGTAGGATTTGCTGGGAGATTGTTCTGTAGGATTAGTAGTTTATAGACCAATCATCTGCTGTTTGGATGATGAAATGTTATATCTCTATAGATTCTGCTGTGCTCAATATGCTGTAATACGAAAAAAGAATATTTCCCCATTGTTTATATAATGCATGCCTACTGTACTGCAAAAAATTTTAAATAGATATTTATCTTTAATTTTATTTAAATGTTACCACAATAATCAGACTTTTCTCTATTGTGTTACAGATATTTTATAACTGCACCTGTGTGGGAATTGCAGCCTCTAAATCAGGAAATTCCTCAGGCATAGTGGGCAGATGTCAAAAAGATAATGAATGTCCCAAAATGTTTCTCTATTTCCTTATAATTTCAGTCATCACATCCTATACATTATCCCTAGGTGGCATACCTGGATATATATTACTTCTGAGGTGAATACTGATTCTCCCCATCCCAATTTTAATACAAGTCATAGTCATCTAGAACAGTGATTTCAAACTATTTTCTGTGGAATCACAGTGATTCTTCATAGCTTTTTTGGGGAACTTGTCTCATACCCTGTGCTACTTTTATCTGTATTGTACTTAAATTTTTATACAAAAATGTGGCTGAACAAAAGTTTTCTTAGTCAAAAATGTTTGCAAACCATTAATTTAGAGGGCAATGTTAGTACCTACATCACTATAGCCATGCAATAAACATAGTATGCTACTTCTAATGCTGGTGATAATATTAACTAGCATAGATAAGATGTTTTAAACTAAATATATAATAGTTTCACCAAATTATGGGAGATACCATTTATAAGACACTTTAATGGCTCATTTAATACCACAATATTTTGCATTTATTATTTTTATTACTTTTTCTGTATATTCTTGCCATGACTGGAATTAATTGGGGGGGATTTCATGGGTTTTGGATCAGTTGAGGATCCTAATCCATAAATATGTCAATGAATTCAAACATCTTTGCTTATAAAACCCTGAATTTTAAAAACTTTGTACCCCCTTGCATATTTACAAATCGACATGTAAAAATTTTTATCATAAGTTTAAATAGTGACTAAGCATTCATTTCCAGTATATTGTAAATATTTTCATTTATGAATATAGCAATTTTAAGTATAAGTCATTCTTTCAAATGTTAATTAATGGGATCTAAAATATAGTGATTAGATTACCAGCATCATCTAATTAAAAATTATCTGAAAAGATTTTTAAGAGTCACAAACGTTACCTATTTCTTGTTTCTTCTTATGCTTATGTCTTCATTCAAATTCCCTATTGACTTTTCTTCTATTGTAATATAATTTGTGCTTGAACATTTTTTATTGATTGTCCTATCAAACATCTCTATAAAAGTTACATATGAATCCAGATTTTGAAATACTTTTATAACCAGGATTCTCAATGATAATATTTTCTTCCTAATTGAATTAGCTTTGCAATATCAATATCTCTATTGTACAATTGATTAAAAAATCCTAAAAGGATATAATTTTTGATGAAATTATTAAACACGAAAAGTCAAAATTTGCTAGAAATCAATCTTTTATAAGATGGATTGAGTGGTTCTCAAATTAATTCATATATTCAAGGATGAATTTTAGTTTTTTTCTAGAATGGGACTGATTACTTTTGATTAAAAGTATTGTGTACATTTTTAATTTCCCACAGTTTTTATTATGGAAATTGATTAGGAAAGATAAAAATAGAATTTACTATCCACAAATCTGCTACTCTCAAAATGTTTTAATGAGAACATGAGAACATGTAAACATTTATGTAAACAAATAGGAGCATGGGTTTGAGAAAATGTGAAAGCTTTGTCCTGGAGTTTCCAGAAAAATGTGACTATTCAACACCTTATACTATGCCAAGTAGTTACCTGGGCTAAATGAAAAAGCAGGTTACTTACTATAGAAAGCATTTTCTTTACTACCAGTCCCTCAAATTAACCATGGTCAATTTCAATATCAGAAGGACTCCCTTGCGTTGAAGGAGAAACATTGTGATTTTTGCCTCTTTTAAAGTGAAGACTAAATGATATAATATATTGGAAGTACTTAATACCACGGCTAACACTCAATAGTTATTGTATATCATTATGATTATTACTATTAAAAGCCACAGGTTAATTAGTTAAAGCTATACAGTCACATTCATGATGCTCTTGTTATTTTAGGTGTTTTTGCACTTTCCTGAGAAATTCAGGTCCCCACTATTTAGCAGTAACTTTTAGCACGCTGTGATTATATCAACCCTGATCAACTGGGTCCTGTGCTTTTAGACCAAAGCCACAAAAACTAGTTATAGATTATTAATCCTTTATTGTTGCTTCAAATTATTACAATTTCTTGGAATTTATGAGTTTTTTTCTGTCTTTACTATTTTGGTGATTAAACTTGTGATTTGACTTTATCCAGCACCATTTGAATATGTCATGTACAAGTAATTTACCTTCCAGAAGTATTAACTATCAGCTCCTTAAAGCATTGCATACAAGGGAACATAGCTTTTGCACATTTTGCCTTCCCTGTTCTCGTATACTAGTGGGTTCATCATAAATGGTATTTGAATTCTAACATAATTTTTGTGTGTTAGGCAGATTATCCTTCAAATTTCTATTTGCTTTAATTAATTATATATTTTTGTAATGGTTCTTTTGTTGATTTTAGGTGCATTAAGCCACAACTTAAGTCTTTTGCCCTGGGTATTTACACCTTAGCCATAAGAGTTCTTGGTAAGTATAATCTATGCTTTAATTTACGGTAGCCATCATAAGTGTATTTTGAAGACTTTTCTAAATATTTTTACAGAATTACCATGCATAGCTAAATGATATAGGTAGTTAAGTCTATAATCTTTTTGTTTTCTTCCTTTCTTCATTTCTTTGTTCCCTCCCTCCTTTCCTTGACTCGTCCATTCCTTTGTTCCAGAAATATTTATTGAGTGCCTATGCTGTGTCCCAGATATAATAGAGATTTTATGAGAGTAGTCACAATTTTTTTTTTAATGATTTTGTCTCTTCTATGACCTGTATGTTCTTACAAAATCCATTGCTCTTAGGGGAGAGCTCTCAGAGGAAATCATAAATTAGTCAGTAAGAAAGGGTGACGCCTAAATACATATTTTTTTCAATTATTAAAGTGGAAAGAATTCTGTTGAGTTACTCTCAGTGTTCATTCCTAGTATATATCATTAGGTAGAATGATAAGATCATTCAACAATTCAAGTAAATGGATTCGAGTAGGGATTTTTAAAAACGTAATTGGAATTTTTTTTCTGACTACCTTTTTTTTTTTTTTTTTTTTTGAGACAGAGTCTCACTGTGTTGTCTGGGCTAGAGTGCCATGGCGTCAGCCTAGCTCACAGCAACCTAAAACTCCTGGGCTCAAGCAATCCTACTGCCTCAGCCTCCCGAGTAGCTGGGACTACAGGCATGCGCCACCATGCCCGGCTAATTTTTTCTAGATATATTTTTAGTTGTCCAGATAATTTCTTTCTATTTTTTTAGTAGAGACAGGGTCTCGCTCTTGCTCAGGCTGGTCTTGAACTCCTGAGCTCAAACAATCCGCCCGCCTCGGCCTCCCAGAGTGCTAGGATTACAGGCGTGAGCCACCACGCCCAGCCTTCTGACTACCATACTTTTTAATATGCGTTTGTTAAAACCCATAGAAAACAATGAATGAGACAGATAAGGTTTTTCCCTTAAAAAGTTCATATTCTAAAGAAGAAAATGAAAGAATTGGAAATGATCCTCTGTAATTTGACAAAAAGGAACCACCCAGGAAGGAAAACAAACTCAGAGCTTTAAAAATTTGAAATTAAATTTAGTTTACATACACCTTGATAGGAAAATGATACAGGTATAAAATAAAAGAATTTAAGTAAAACCCATTCTTAAATTTGAATTTAAAATATCAATATAAACTCACATTTTTTATTTTAAAATAATGTATACTTTATAGCTCGCTCTCCTGAGAAATCCAGAAACTATGAAACCCAGCAGAAATGAGCCCTCTAGCACTCAGTCTATGATATCTAAATATCATCTCCCAGTAAAAGAACCGTGGCACCTTCGAGAAACAACCGATTCAAGGTCTAGAGTAGAGATTGCATAATGATTATGGGACATCTTTTTGTACTAGAAAGTGAATAAGCTGTCAAAAGCTAATAAGAATATATCAAAGGGCACAAAGTCAATTTGAAAAGATTAACCTCAAGGTGAGCTAATTTCAGAATCAAAATAGTAGTACCAATAATAATAATCATGGCTACAATTTATTGAAATATGTCGAATATATAAAAACATATGAGTTCGTAATGATACTTTAAAAATTTGAAGAATACCAGGATACCAACTCATTATTCTGAAAATTGATAAATAAAGGGAAAAAATCAATCATTTATCTTGCCTTTCTTCTAGTTAACTGTATTTCCAAGTAACAAAATAGTTAATGAAGGGAAATTCTTTTATAGGAAAATCCCAAATAATTAGTATAGGAGGTACAGAATTTTTTTTAAATTCCTGTCTTGCAGCCTCATCGACATTTGCTAAAAGTTTTAGGTGACATTTCAGGAAGAACTTCATAGCGATGGAGGGATGAGACTGGCATAGCATGAACCTCAGATCCAGCTCAACATTACTAAGAGCAGCGACCACACAGCATGTGCCCGGTAACAGGGACACAACCAGAAGTACACAGAACTGCCTTTGTTTACTCCTGTCTGAAATAAATTGAACCTGAGTCTATCAAGCTCTAGCTACCAGGTTATAGGAAAAATGGATAGGGGAACAATTTAAATAATACTACAAAGAAGCAAACAAACAAATCCACACTGTGGCATATTCTAGAAGACAAATGTCTTTTTTTCAAAAATCATTAGTGTGGAAAAAAAGTGAGAGGAAGATATTGATAAAGAGTCATCAACCAAATTCAATGTGTTTATTTGGTTTGGATTCTGCTAAGAACAAACCAACTGTAACAAGATACCTAGGAGACAATCTGAAAAGCTTGATTATGTACTAGATTTTAGATAAGATTAAGAAATTATTGTAAAATGTATTAGGTGTGAGAATAGCATATGTTTTTTTGAAATGTCATCAGTTACAAGTGCATGCCAAAGTGCATATAATCAAAGTGACATTATGTTTGAGATTGCCTTTACAATACTAAAAAAAAGAGTCCAGAGTTGGGGGAGAGAGGAGACGGGAATGGCAAAACATTAAAAATCGTTAAAGCTAGTGATGGTACATGAGGGTTCATTATATCATTCTCTCTGCTTTTGTGAATGTTTGAAAATTTTTCATTGTAAAAATGTTAAACCATATACAGGAAATTGTATACATTTGTATCTTTTGCCTTGTCTTGACACCATTGAGGGCAATGTAAAGTTAGTTATCACTTGGGTTTTTTAAGTGCATCTATTTGGTTGGACCATATACATAGAAAACTTATTTGAGGCACCAAGTAATCCAAATTGATTGCTAGATATATTTGCTCCTCTTTTAGTCCATGGGAGTTTATGCAAGTTAGGATCAACTGCTTCTTTTTTTAACTTTGTGTTATTTAAAAAAATCCAAACATATACTAAGATAGTAAGAATATCGTAACGAACTCCTATGTATCTACTACCCAATCTCAACAATTATCAACACACAGCCCATCTTAGGATATCTGTATCGCTATCCACTTCCCCTCGCTGGCTCATTTTGAAGTAAACTTCAGACTATCTCATTTCTTCCATAAAATTTTGGGTTGGGTATGTACTTGTAATCTTAAAACACAATGACTTGTTTTAACCTAATTATCACATCCTAAAAATAACTCTTTAATATTAGCAAATATCCAATTAATGTTCAAACTCTTTAAATTATCAGATGTTTCCTTACAAATGCTTCTTTCAATCAAGGACCGAACAAAGTCCACACGTTGCATCTAGGTGCTGTATCTCTTAAATCTCTTTTGATCTGTAGGTTCTATTCTCTCTCACCTTTCTCTTCCATTTATTGTGAAAATTTTCAAACCCACAGAATAGTTTTAAAAAATTACAGCAAATGCTTGTATTATATAACCTCTCTTTCTCTCAACACACATATATTTTGAAAATGAATAGTGGACATCCTGATACTTCACTCCTAAGGCCCTCAGCTCGTATTCTCCTGCAAAAGCAAGTACACTGTCCTATAAAACCACAGTACTGTTCTCACACTCAAGAAATTTATCACCATTAGTATGATACTCTATCTAATATATATCCCACATCAAATTTCTTTTATGATAATAATGTCTTCCATAGCATTTTTTTCCTTTTGATCCAATCAGGATCATAAGTTTAATTATCTTTTTTGTGTCCAACAATTCCTCATCTTTTGTGTTTGTGTTGTTTTGTTGTTGTTGTTTTCCTTTAGTCTTCAGCGACATTTGCATTTTTCAAGAGGCAAAGCCAGTTGTTTTATAGAATATCCCACCATTTGGATTTGTCTGTTTGTTTGCTTTTGAGTATGTCCAGGTAAAATGTTTTTTGGGAAAATACTACAAAAGTGATGTTGTGTACTGACTAGTAAATCACATTGGGAAGCACACGGTTTATACCATTATTGGAAATTTTAAGTTGGATGTCTTGGTGAAAGTGGTGTCTACCAGTTTCTTCTATTGTAAAAATCCTTTTGCAATTAGTAAGTAATCTGTAATACGACATTTTGAGATTATGTGAACATTCCATTTCCCAAAAATCTTTTACCCAAAGTTTAAGCAGCCATTAATGATTCTGGATTAAATCAATTATTATATTGGTAATTACAAAATTTAGGCACACCTTTGAATAGAAAATCTTTTGAAATATTTCCCATTTGTTATCAAAGAACAAATGGATAATCTCTGAAATTTAAGTGCATCATGAATATTCTTAGACAACTTTAAAAATAATTTAATGAGAGTACTTTATTCAATATAAGCATACAAAACAACTTTATAACAGAAGAAAAAATAAATGGTTAAAACTCAAATGCAAAAACAAATCTAGGCAGTTGATGGAAAGGAGTGAAGAAGGCAGAGAGAAAGCTGTACAGACTGGGAAAGTGAACTCCAAGTGTGTGTAGAAGATAGGAACAGGGGATGCAGGCAGCTGCTATTCAACTCCAGCCAATATTACCATGGATTTCCAGATAGTGCGGCTCTTAAAAGAATTTGGACATCTGTTGTTTTACATGAAATCTCCTGGCTTTTAAATATTGGCTACTAATTAAAAAACAAAAGCCCAAACCTATGCTGACTAAATAACAGATGTTAATGCATCGCTGATTTAAAACATAAAAACTATAAACTGAGATTTGAGCAGACTGAAATCAACTTAAAATACTTTTGTTAAAGTTTATACATGAGAGATATCTTTTCTCCCTAAAGAGGGATTAAATTCTCAACAAACTTTTATTGAGAATCTACTAGGGTTTATAGCATGAATAAGAAAAACACATTTCTTTCCCCTGTACAGCTTACAGTCTAGCAGGAAAGACAATTAAACAAACCATTACAGGAGTATAATGTTCTGAAGGAAGTACAAATGCTACCAGATATAGAATAAAAGGAATTAATGTAGTTTAGGCCATCAAAGTAGACTTTTCTGAAGGAAAACATTCAAACTGAGATTCAAAAAGTGAGTGTGTTTTAAGAAGAGAAAGGAAAGAAACGTTTGGGTTAAAAAAAAACCTATATAATACATTCAGGAAAGAGGGGAGAACATTTCAAGCACTTAAAGAATCCAGTAATATTGGAGTCTGAAATGTAAGACAATGAATGTTGCCCAAAATGAGGCCAGAAATGGAAATGGGGCCCAATATCCAATGAGCTACTCTTGTCTTGGAGCAGATGTCTGGGAAGATCATCTACTTAGTTGAATGATTCAACATCTGTATGATGAACAGATTAGAGAGGTTAAGGAAGGAAACCAAAGAGTCATGAATTGGCTGCTGCTTTAAATTAGGGTAGAAGTAGTGACAGTGGGCATGGAGAGAAGAGAGCATCTTTAAGCTACACCTGGGAGCTGGAGTTGGCATCATTTGGGGATAGATTAAATGTCATGATGGCCAAAGAGAGGAGAGAGAGAGGAATCAAAGATGATGTCCAAGCTTGTAACTTTAGCAATGGGGTGGCAGCTGATAAAGGGACAGGTCTGGGGAGGACGATGTTAACTCACGGTGAGTTGAAGTGCCTGGAGACATACTTCCGGAGGTAAACAAACAAATGGCAGTTAATGCATGAGTCTGGCACATGCGAGAAAAGACTGCGCTAGAGAGAGAGGTTTTGGACATTTCAGCCTTTCATCTCCAAAACAGTAATGATTACAGTAAGTGTTTTTTGGATAATCATTCATAACCAAAAAGATGTGCCTACGTTTTTAATAGCAATTATTTGTTTTTCTCACAGCAGGAATCCCAGCTCCGGTATATTTTGGAGTTTTGATTGACACTTCATGCCTCAAATGGGGATTTAAAAGATGTGGAAGTAGAGGATCCTGCAGATTATATGATTCGAATGCTTTCAGGTACCGAATCAAATGCATTCCCACATCTCACTGCTACAGTATCCCAGGTTTACACAATGCCACTGACACAATTTCTCATGTAGTTTCACTTCTTATGAGGTAGAGGATAGTCTAATCAAAAAGTGTGATCTGTATCATAGAATAAAGTGGTTATTTGGCTAAATGTTTGATATTTTTCCCCATTTCTAACCTTGACTCTTATTTTAAGTGAGTAATCATTTTAAAAATATGACAAAAGAGTCCAGAACACAGTAGAATTTTGAAAGTTTATGCATACAAATGGGTAAGTTATTCCCTGAAATTCAGAAGCATTTAAATTTAGGTCACATTTTGAGTTTAATTCTATTCCTTTTCAAACTGAGCCAAACTGTACCATTTACGTCAGATATAATCCCCCTGGGCAAGAGTTGGATTTGGCTCTAAATCTGTCCGGCTGTTATTGCCAAACTGATGTTCAATTATTCCAGTACTTGAAATGCATAAAAGTAAAAGGTTTTCTCTGTGTGGGTGAGTGTGTACGGGGGTGAGGGGCATGGCTTTTTCACTAGGGTGTCATTCAGCTCCATTCATCAAACATTTAGTCCCTTATTGCTTAAAGCAATGCTTCAAACGCTTAAAAGGAAGAAGGATTTTTTTTTCTAAGACTTACAAGCTGAACATTTTCTAGAGAAATAAACTTGGTGCTGAACCATCTAAGTTGGATGTGAATTGGGCAGACCATCTCAAATAAGTGTGTTTGGTTTAATAGGCTTTGATGTTGTGTGTGAAATTTATTTTGGTCTTTGAAAGGGACCTGATCTGTGAGTGTAATTTAGGCTTTATTCACATTTTTCCTAAAGCTGTATTCATTTCAATGTAGAGACAATGTAACTCAAGCAGAGACTGAGAGTACATTTTCAATGTGACCAAAATGAAACATTCAACCTGTCCTTCCGTACCTTAGCATCTTCTGACAGAGCGCAGAACTGTGGGCTTCTCATGGAGGAAGTCAATTTAAGACTCTGGTGAATTCTTAAATTCTTAACTGAGAGCTCCCATTCCCCTTAGCATTGCTTCCTGCAGTTTTTCCATAAAAGTGAATTTGGGAAAGGTCTTGCGGATAGAGTAGCCACGTAATTTATCATTCAAACCTCGACACTTTTGAGAGTGAAAGGGGGCACTATTAAAATTACACTGGGCTGGCACTGGCATAAACTGGGACTGTTCTAGGAAATCAGGGATATGGTCATCTGGTTCAAGGGAATAATTTACAGAAAGAGTGGAACCGGTTATGTAATTAGTAGAAACTGAAAATGATGGTGCAATAAGAAATTACTTTATATTAATAAAGTGCCTTCGATAGTCTACCAATGTTCACAGAAAGGTCTTTTATAGCCACCAAATCTGCATTCTTAAAGAAAGCCATCAGAATGATATTATTACCTTCCTGGTACATTGTATTTCAAGTTGGGTAGTTGCAATAATTATGACTCGGGTTCTCTCTTCTTCCAGACACATATATCTGGGACTGACTGTGATATTGGGCACAGTGTCCATTTTCCTAAGCATTGCAGTACTTTTCATTTTAAAGAAAAATTATGTTTCAAAACATAGAAGCTTCATAACCAAGAGAGACAGAACGATGGTGTCTGCAAGATTCCTGAAGGAAAATTGTACTACAAGTGATCATTTGCTACAACCCAACTCCTGGCCAGGCAAGGAAACACGACTTTAGAAAAATAATGACGAAGCCATGTTTTCTAGTAGGTGGACATTTTGCAAACAAATAAATTTTAATCAAAAGCGTTCTAAATGTGTAATTTCTTTCTCCTGTCAAAAAATGTCTGCTTTGTTTTTGACCCTAGGCATTAGATAATATATACCCAATGACAAATATAATTAAAATATAACAGAAGATGCAGATGATAAAACTAATTTAAACCTTTTAATTTATATATAATTTCTTGTATTATTTACTTATCCTGATTTACTTTGCCTTGTGCCCATTTATATATATTAGCTGTATTTCTAGTAGAACAATTGTCCTTATTGTCTTATATATAGTTATATTTAAAGAAATTTCTAAACTGAGTTACTTGTGTACAGTGAGAGAACACTGTTAAAAAATTAAGTCACACCTTGGCCTTCTTCAAGTATCATTTTAATGATGATGTTAGGATTGAGCTGGAAAAGAGAGAAAGATTTCATTTTAAACTCCTCCTTTTCTTTGAAATGCAATAATTGACATAGAAATGTATAGTAGCAAATGATCTTGGGTATTAGAATTTTGGAGTATTAGCTCTTCTACTATTCATTTACATGTGCTTTTGTGTGATACTATAAGTGACCCTGGTTGCAAAATAATAAAATTAATGTTAACATGTGTTATTGTCCTTCTATGAGTTCAGTGGATTAAACAATATTGTTAAATACAATATTGCCCATATTTTAATGTACATAAGCTCACTACTTATGCACATGATGTGTGCCTAAAAGATGCTTGCAAGTTGAATTTCTAAAAGTCTACAATAAACTTAGGTGTTATAACAGGAATGGAGAGTGATGGATGAGTGATGGGAAGACCAGGTGTGGTACCTTTTGGTGCTCCACTGGCCATCCATCACAGGGTCTGGGGACTCCTGGATAAGAAGCTGCCACCTGGTACAGCCTGCTAGATGACTCAGTTTCTCTGCAACTGAAAAACTCAATCCAGGCATTTCCATTTCCTCTTTCCTGGCTCCTTGGCGTTCCTCTGACTAGGGTTAGTAAGTTCAGCAGTCCATCATCTTTAATCTTCAGCTGTATTATGTGCTATATTTTTCTTCCTCCACCATAGCTGTAAAGAGGGGCCTGATACTTACAAGAAAAGTAGACTTAAGACAGAGACTACCCTAGTGAGGCATCCTATTCAGCTACCATGAGCTCGCAATCCAATACTGTCTGCATTCTGTTAGCCCTGTACAAACCAGAAAAGACTGGGTGAAAGAAAAAGTTGGGTTAGGAAAGAAAGCCTGAAGGACATTCAGTGTGAGTGCAGCCACAGAGTCCCTCAGATGCACTAGAGGAAGACCTATACTTACCAAGGAGATTTTCAAGGTCAGACTGAAGACCCATAATTTGATTACATATCAAACACTCTAAAAATTGTATTAATCTTTATAGCAGTCTTAGTATCAGAATCCCCATTTTACTGATGATAAAACCGAGGCTGAGAGGGTAGATAAATTGCTCAACCTTGGAGGGGCACAGTCAGGATTCAACCCAGGTATAAATCTAAAATTGTCTTTCCAACCTGACTCAATAACATGATGCTAAATAAACTGCTTCTATTATTGGTAATGTCTCTGCATTACTTTATTTCGTTAGATCAGTTTGCTCCTGTAATTGTCTTCATCGGTGTATTTCAATGACATGTAGATGATCAACAACTGTATAAACCACACAAAGAATTTATTTAGCATATTCTTTTCTTCAAGTGTTGTTGACTTATGGTTTGAAATAATATATTATACCCAAAACATGCTATTTAACCTTGTCAGGTAATCAAGGGCAACCCTTTAGAATTGCAACACAGTTCTTAGTAGTCTTTAGGATGAGCAGAAAATATCAACAGGGCACTCCTAACAAAGGAGTCTATTTAAAGTGTTTCTTGTAACCTACGCCCAATAAGAAAGGCCAATTCAAAAATGCAGTAGCCTTACTCATATAGGAAAGGGATCAAATAGGGCAAACAAAGTGGCTTGTGGTCTTTTAATTTTCCCCTTTCTATACCAGTCTGGTGAATATGAAGGGAAAAAATAGAGATAGAAAGTTTGGGAATGGAGAGAGGAGGAAATGTCCTTTATATATTAGTCTTGTCATTTTATTTGAATTGGTGATGTTTGATTATTTCATATTTTGCTATTTTAAAAAATGAAGATAGACTTATATTTTGTTACCAGCAGTCTTATCTCAGACCTGCTGCTGCCCTGCTAGCTGGTCAGCAGGAGTCCTTTTTGTCATCTCTGTATCAGTCTTTACAAGGGAGTACACTTGTTCAGAGTTTTCTCTGTAGAATTGTAATTAAAATTCAAATTCCTTATCCTGTCTCCCACATTCTTTTTATTTTCCTAAGATTTTTGTCATAATATCTTGAAAAATTACTCCTTTGCTAGTAAATTTCTGAACAGAATTCTATTCAATTTACTCCTAAATGACTTGAAAATAAAAAGCCATAAAGGACGATTAAATGATGGTCTTTTTCATAAAAGGACTGAATGACATTTAAAAGGAAATGTATTTTTACACATACCCATTAATTTAACAGTGGAATTATATATACTAAACTCAGCTGTATGATATATGAGGGTATTGTTTAGTGTAGAATTAAATTTACTAGGAGGTACCCTGATATTTTTGATAAGTAAACTTGGCTGGCAGAAGTAAGCTTTTTTTTTTTTTTTTTTTTTTTTTGAGACAGAGTCTCACTCTGTTGCCTGGGCTAGAGTGCCATGGCGTCAGCCTAGCTCACAGCAACCTCCAACTCCTGGGCTCAAGCGATCCTCCTGCCTCAGCCTCCCGAGTAGCTCAGACTACAGGCATGCACCACCATGCCTGGCTAGTTTTTTCTATATATTTTTAGTTGTCCAATTAATTTCTTTCTATTTTTTTTTTTTAGTAGAGACAGGGTCTCGCTCTTGCTCAGGCTGGTTTCGAACTCCTGAGCTCAAACAATCCGCCCGCCTCCGCCTCCCAGAGAGCTGGGATTACAGGCGTGAGCCACTGCGCCCGGCCAGAAGTAAGCTTTTTATACCTCAGAAAGCACATGATTAATTTTGTTTAAGCAAACCAAACCCCATTTCAGAAGTCAAAAAAATTCCCTCAGTCCCAAGGCCAAACATTAAAGGTAACCCCCTGATTGATATGTGGGAGGCTACAATTGCGTCACATTCAGTGGACCACATTATACTCTTATTCTACAGCTATGACCCCTAGGATGACCAGCATCTCCAGTGAACATCTGATTCCCTAGAACCTTCAGACAGCTAAAGCTCCAGCAATGACATTTTATAGATGGAGTGAATTAAATTGGATTAGATGACTTGCTCAGGGTGGAGGCAGGCAAACTAATGCTGGGTTCTTCCGTTACATCATGTCGCCTCTGAAGCAGGTAATAAAAACAAACAATCTGAAACCTCTCAAAACTGCTGGAAGAACTTTTGTGAGCATTAGCATTTAAGGAATTTCCACTTAAATATTACAAGCCTGTCCTGGTACATAAGGGAAGATTCAAGGAATAAATTGGCTATGACATATACTTGACAATAATTATCATTTTTACAATTTTTATGACAACTATCAAATATAACAATTTATATTAAGCACCCTCCGTATGAGTGCTGAGTGCCTTAGAGATTCTCAATTTCAAAGATCAAAATAAGCTATGTGTTAGGTATTATTACTGATATTTTCAGAGGAAGAAACAGGCTTAAAGAGTTTTAGTGACTTGTCAAAAGCCAACAAGTTCTAGTATTTGATAGAGCCACTATTTATTTATTTTTCTTTTTTATTTCAGCATATTATGGAAATACAAATGTTTAGATCATGTATATTACCCTTGCCCCACCCGAGTCAGAGTTTCAAGCATGTCCATCCCCCATTATGCTATCATGATGTATAGATTTAATTTTAAAAACTGTTGTTAATAACTTTTCTTTGAGTTTTATTTTAATATTAATATTGCCATTCTGCTTTCTTGATGGTGTTTACTTGATATGTCTTTGGTCCTCCCTTTTTAAAAATTTTTTTGTGTTTGTTCAAGGTTAGATATCTATTAGCAGTAAGAAATTGCATTTTATTTTCACTTTATCTAAAATTTTGTCTATTATTAAAAAAGTTTAATTGTCACACCTGATGTTTGGTTTTACTTCTTTTGCACTGGGTTTTTTTGTTTGTTTGTTTCCTTATGGTTTTCCTTTTATTTTTACATATGCAACATGTACTATAGTTTTGCTTTTTATTTTTGTTAGTAATATGGACGTTATAGTCACTTTTTTAACAACCTGAAAATTATTCTGTAATTACTTATCAAAAAATTATGAAAATACATATTGATATTATTTTTCTCTGCTTAGACCAAGAATCAAATAATAAATACTGTCTATTGACTTCCTTTGTGTAAGATTAAAAATTTTAAATGGTTTTGCCTCCTTTCTCCTCTTCTACTTATAATTCCAAAATTTTTTACTAACATAATTAAGGATTTGAGACCTAAATTGTTAATAAATTATCTTATTTTACATATCTTTTTTTTTTTGCTATATAGAAAAATCTACAAAGAACATTTCATGCATGTATCTTTTTCTATATTTTTATTTATTTCTTTAAAATAGATTCCTGGCAGGCCAGGCGCAGTGGCTCATGCCTATAATCCCAACACTTTGGGAGGTTGAGGTGGGAGGATCGTGTAAGGCCAGGAGTTAGAGACCAGCCTGAAAAACATAAGACCCAGTCTCTATAAAAAAGCTTAAAAAATTGACCAGGCCTGGTAGCATGCCTGTAATCCCAGATACTCAGGAGGCTACAAGAGAACACAGATAAAACAATACAAAAATGTCAGGAGAACAATTCATATGAATGAGAAATTCTACAAAGAGATAGATATCATAACAACCAAACAGAAATCCTGGAATTAAAGAATTCAATGAATTAAAAAATATAATCAACAGCTGCAGTAATAGACTAGGTTAAGCAGAAGAACGAATTTCTGAACTTGAAGATAGGTCTTTTGAAATAACACAAACAATAAAAGAGAAAAAAGAATGAAGAAA